TTCCAGAAATTTTTTGAAAATTTGGAAAAAATATTCCCATTACATTTTTTTTTCCCGGGCCATCTCGGAGGTAAACAAGATCCCTTCCCCTCCCGTCAATTCACACGATCGTTAATGGTTGATGATGAGAGAAGGGCAAAATGCAGAGGACACCTGTGTTGTTGCCCGAGGCGCCACAAACAACGGGCCCACTTTTCCAAGTGGGTCTGATTCCCCCTCTCCCATACGTGTACCCAATCCACCACCAAACCCGTTGGCGATAGCACTTGCACGCACCCATCACATACACAACTTCCAGACACAAGTCTTCATATGCTTCACTGACTTGGGTACCGACTATTGCACTTTCCATTTCGTTCCAGCCATTCCAACGTTGAGAGTTTTACCGCTGTTCAGTGTTACGCTCGTCGAAATTTCGCCGGAAGCACAGGGATTAAGGACGTATGAAAGTCTTGAGGAATTTCGAAGGAATATTTCATTCAAGTCAATTTTACCATAACCATTACTGCACTTTTCATTTCCCAGACGATTTTCGGACTTGTCGCCCATAAAATCGTTTTATCTTGGGGACAAACTCATTGGATTGAATCATTGGCAATCAAGGTAAAGACCAAGCTGGACTCAAGTCCTAGAATGTTCAACGAATACTTTATCTCAGTTGATCCAAGTCATTTAATGATACCGATCCCACTTTCTATTTCGCTCCCGATTTTCGACATCCTGTGTATCATAAAGTGATTTTATTTTTCCAAACTTCGTGGGCTGATATGTTGACTTGAATCAAGTCAGAGTCAACTTCTTCAGAGTCAATCAAGTCCTTGAATGCAGTGATTAATGATCCAAGTCCTGTCTCTTCGGAATAGCTGAGAGGACTTGATTAATTTCGATTTTTCCTCTTGGCTTAATTATTGACGTAATTCAAATTTATACAATTACTTTAACTCGGAGTATTGACTCTGAGTGTCTGAAGGACCTGATCCGAGCGAACCCGAAATTTCTATTTCGCTTTCAGAACAGGTTCCCCAATTTCTTAATAACTATTAGACTCCACTGGTTTCCTTTGTTCAGATCCAACACCTGCAGATAATCATTTCGAAATCATCTAGCTGCGGATGTAGTTATGGCCAGTGATTTGATGAATGTTTTGATCATACTTATTCAAGAAATTAATACTTAGCACTAAATCCCCTCACCGTTCCACAAACAAGTTCTATTATTTATTTATTTATCATTCAGGAGTCTTTAGAAGAATAATAATATTTTGAGATATTTTATTTAGATAAGATATCGCAACTGATAGGCTAATGTACTTTAAATTCCGAGTTAGATATGGTGTATTGCCAGCTGTGGAGGGATTCTTGAAACATTTCTAAAATCTCGCAAACATTCGAGTATCCTCGAGGCATAATCTTAAAATCCGGTGTTCTTTCGTCGTGATCACTCTCTCGAGCACACGGTATTTCCTTTGTGTAAATCCATTTGAAGCCTCTGCAGGTGGTCATTTCGCAACCCCACCAAGTTTGTATGTATCAACAATAGCTTCATTTACGATGATTCATGGTATCCCGTAATCGATCCTCTTCTCTAACATTCCCACACCCCGAAAACTTCTGGAAAAATTACGCGACAACTCACGTAATCGGGAGATGAACTTCCCATGTCGCGAAATTTCGCGAAATCATAAAGTCATCGGAATTTTTAATTATATGAATCTGAATCTAATTGAAAAAATCAGGTTTTTGTGGTAAATCATAATTAATTTTTTGATTAAAGCTTAAATTTTCGTGGCCATTTTGAAAATTCAAGGTCAAATGCAATTAAATTTTCAATAAATTGATGTTTGAAGTCAAGAAAAATGACTGCTTGATTTTTCAGTGGGAATTGGAACTTAAAATTGAAAATCATGAGAATACATTAAAAATTAATTTGTGAATAAAGAATTCTACAGAAATTTCCCATTTTTTTTGTCATCACTTAAAAAATGCGAGTTTTTCTACTTGAAATTTAGACTGTAATTTTCCAATAGTGAACTCATACGCTGAGTATCGCAAATTTTCAAAGTCGCTCTCAGAAATTTTCCTCTATCGGCATATTTTTACCCGACTCGTCCCGTAGTTTTTGTACGGACTGCCCCCTCAGAAAATTACTACTGGAATTTCAAGTGAAAAAACGTAAAACTCTGCACAACCCTAAATTTACATGGAATTTATCACAATTTATTTTCCTAAAAAATCTGGTATTTTCACAAAAATAAGACATAACTCTACTAGATTCTCAATATCAATCAAACCGAAAATCCCAAAGTACTGATGCTTCATTAAATAGTAATTAATAAGCATGCAGTAATTAGGCATGCGCATCGTGAAGATAAAAACCGAAATAGAATAGAATTTTTAATTTATTTAATTTTCGACGGATTCATTCACTCGCTAATTTGTTCTCCCACAAGTTCTCGTGACACCTGGACACCCACTGTCGAAATGTTGCAATTATTTGGGTCCTTATCCCACAGAAAAACTTGTTATCCAAGCAACCGATATATGGAATGTGATATTACGCAACTTCACCACTCAAATCCACCTTCACGTTTCTCCAGTTCTCTTGTTCCCATCACCGTATGCGTTACCATGTGTTACAACCCATGATACATTGAACAACCACCTACAGTCCATATACATTACTCGAGATGTATCTTAATGATGATCAACAAATTTTCCCCCCGACTCCATCATCGGTGCATCAAACTAAACCCCAAGGAATAACCTATCATCATTTTCAGCCTAAATTTTTCCTCATTTCCTCATTTTAACACATCAATTGAACTAGTATTTTAAATCTCCACCAATCATATCCCAAAAATGAATTTTCAACAGCGAAAAAATTTGATAATTTTTCGAGTGGTGTGCAACCATGAGAAATGAAAAATGAAAAATAAAAAATGAAAAATAAAAAATAAAAAATGAAAAATGAAAAATAAAAAATGAAAAATAAAAAATCTTTAAGTGAGTATGAAGAAATCGAAATGCGTTGGATTAATGTATTAAATATGTGTAATATCACACTGAAGGATTTTAATGATTATTTATGGATGTGGGGCATAAATGGTGGGCAGACTCGTTATATGGTAGGACGCAAGAAGATGGTGTTAATTGTGGACCCATTTCGAAAGTCAACCCCAGTTGTCCTCGTTCTCTCCCGTAATTCCCATTTACCCCCCTCAGCTCAGATTCCCCCTCGCGATATTCGTCATGTTACAGATGTCGTCATCAACACGGATTACCATAGACGAATGGACCGGTGCGTCTTCCATGAAAGGCGACAGTGAAAATTTCATTCTTGAAGAATTCAATTGCAAAACTCGTCGGGTAATCATATATGGAGAGAACTTGCTCACCGCAGTGTGTTCCAGAAAAACGGGTTTTCCCCTAAACTGCCAAAATTGACGAGAGATAAAAATAAAGTATCAGGTGCGCGTCGAGATGTCGTAATTCACTTAATTCGTAACTCAAGAACAACTTTCGCAACTTATTTTTCTTGCTTTTATTATCCTTTCAACGGTGAAGTAGAATTACACTTGTATCGCTGAGTTAGTTGCATTGGGAGTCGAGTTGTTTTTTTATTATTTTTATTCTTTTTTGCATATCTATTCCGCTAATTTTTCAATGTTTGCCGAGTGCAAACACGCCCAAGCATCGAGGTCGACTATTAAATTATTGTAGAACTCCTATTTATCCTCCTGAATGAAACTGGCACACAAATGCCATTGGTGTGAACTTTCAGAACGAAAGGATTGGGATTTTGTTGTAAGTTTTGTGTATGTGTGTAGGTCATAATGTAATGGGTACCGGATTATTGTTGAGTTAGGTGTGGACGGTTTTAAAAGCGCATACCTTTTATCTTAGGATAAATCAAAAACCTGCTTCCCATTCGGCAATGGAAATTTATGTGAGACTGGACTATTCTAGTTCCGATTCACCCCCTGATCATTTTCACGGAATACCATTGGATTATGACATCTCCAGTCTCCAATAAAATCGCACTGTTGAAAAATTTTGTTATTTGATTTACAACGCTGAATCACAGAAAGTGTAATCAGCGTGTTTTCTATTTTTACTGAAACTTCAGGAATCCTCTTATTTAAAAACCAATAGAAAACCTGATTTTCAAATTCAATTAGACTCTCAAAATTCTGAAAGATCGGTAACACTTTAGCTCTATGGTTGTAAAAACGAGTGGAATTTTAAGGTGAATTCTTCATAAATTCAACAACATTTAAAAAAAAAAAACGCTAGATTTTTCGCATTGAATTTTTTCATAAGTGCCCTCGCGTTTCCCACTGCATCAAACCGAAATGACCGTACAAAATACTCCGGTAAATTTTCCCAGATTGTTTATCCCCCCAATTTGCCTCTACCCAGCAGTGCCTGACACTTGATTATCCCCCTAGACCACAGAGCGCTGATAATTCACCCGTACGAAGTTGGTGATCGAGAATAAAAAAAAAAACCAATAAAACACAAATAGAAAAGAGTGGTGAGATCATCTAGGAAGCTAGACCGACTTTCCTCTCAATCTCCCGTCAACTTATCCCCTTTAGGCAAATTCGCACGGGAGAAGCTCTCAGCGTGGGCGCCACAGCTCTCACGGAGGTGTGCAGAATACACCCCGAGGCGTTTAAATCCAAGTTTAACCAGTGCCTCGCCCAGACAAAACCACAGAGACAAAACCAGAATGACGATAGCTCAACCCAAGAGAGGGGCGCTGTGTTTACAGTTACCGGAATGACGTAATCGGCAAAATTATACCACAGAAGGCACTTCAGTGGGACACGGTAAAGGACAAGCTACCGAAAAGTGGTATTCAAATGAGAATCTCGTCAAGAGTGAGTATCTTGACCCGAATAATTACGCTAAGCAATTTCCGAAAGCATAAGAAAGTGATAAAACTATCCCCATGAACTCGATATTTCCTCCAGAAAAGTTGAAGCATTATTCACTTACCTGTTCAATATCGTAGTCAAGATCCCTGGCACTTTTAGCACTCCTGAGCCTGTCCCCCCGATACTCCTTGTACCTCTGAGTGACCTCATCATCAGTGAGAGCACCAGTGCCACCACTGCTGCTGCCATCTGCATCCCCAGGACGTCTCTTCATCTTGTTCTTCTCTTCTTTATCCTTCTTCTCCTTCTTCCCGAACAACTGTCTGACTTTGCTCATGGTCCCACTTTTCTTGGTTACCTTCTTCTCAAACTTCTTGTCGTTGAGCCCGGACGGAGGCTTGGATGTGACTTTACTGGTGTACTTGTCGTACCTGCGCTTCTCCAACGGCGTCAGGTTCATATTTCGATCGGTGTGTTTGCGCTCGTGTTTGATGAACTGAAGAGTGACAAAGCCCTCATCCTCAGACTCAAGGGGCTCTCGTCGATCGGCTTCCTGGGAGTCCCTGCGGTAATCGTTCTCAATCCCAGAATCAGCAAGCCGATCCTTCCTGTCGGGATCGGTCAGCCCCGTTTCTCTGTGCCTCGACTCGTGTCTCTCCCTCCTGACCTTGCTCTCGTGAAATACACGGGGCGTCATCTCCGGGCTCTCGTCAAAGGTCTCCAACCTACTCTGATGGAGCCTCGTTTTTCCACCCCTTGGACTCTCCCTCGCTGATTCGGAATCATCCAAGTAATCTAGCCGATTCCTCGATCCTCGAAGCGGCACAGATCGCTCCTCTGGGATCTTTCGGTGCTCCTTTCTAACGCTTCTCGACGTCTCCTCCGTCCGATAACGAACCTCTCGACGATGCACTGATTCCCTCCCACCGGTTGCGTCCGAATCGTATCTGCTGGAGTTGTAACCGCGCTCCGAGTCATTCCGCACACGAGACGGTGGTGAGCCATCATAACTTCCATTGTATCTCTTTCTTATCTGGCTAGTTCTACGATTCTCCTTATCGTAGTAGCCATTTGTCTCCAAGTGGCTGTTAGTCATCTGGGATATGTCAGTATCATAATCATCATTGAGTCTACCATCTCGGATGTCGTTGCGATAAGCTTGCCGGCCATTCGCTCGACGAAAGTCCCGAGTATTCACATAGTCACTGTCCAGGCGTAGGTTCTCGTGGGATCTCGTCATGTATCCGGATCTCGGTAGGCTCTTCTCAACGACCTCATCCAGCCGTTGACTGGATTTGCTGATACCCCGAATCGTCTCCAAGTTCTTTCGCATCTTGGGAACGTACAGGTCGCGCCGCCTGGAGACATTACGTGGTTCGCGGTCCAGGAAATCCTCACTCTTGGAGAACTCCCGATTCTCGATAAATCTATTAACGGTAACCGGTGCTTTGACGTAGGATACCTTGTTGCCGAGGGTCTCAAACCGCTCCTCCGGGCTCGTTCGACTCTTGTCACTCATGAAGGGTTTGAACTCCCCCTCGTTATAGTCGTCGTGCAACTTCGTCTCGATTATGTACTTGTCTCCATGCTTGTCTGTCCTTGTTTCGACCTTGTAACCGTTTCCCCGGACTGGCGATGGCTCCGCGTAATTCGGTGGGATCTTGTTGGTGATCTTCTTCTCAAATCCAAAGACCTTACCATTGTCCTCCCTCAACTCTTTCTCGAAGATGTATTTCTCCCCATTACTGTTGGTCCTCGTCTCCGAGATGTACGTCTCCGAATACCGTTTCGGTGATGAGACTCGATCTGGAGTGACCGGAGAAGGGACAATCGGCTTGTCTATGATCTCGTGCTCGGTTTTCCTGAAGATACCATTGCCCTTCCCCGAGAAGGGATCCTCGTTCAACAGCCTGGATTTCATCCTGGATTCCAAAAGGTCCCTCCGAGCACTCAATTCGCTGGTCTTACTCGTGATACCTCCAAGGTTTCGATTGGTATCCTCCTGAACGAATATCTTGGAAGTGTACCTGTCAGGCTTGTCATAACGACTGTCAAACCCGTTGATCTCGCCATTCCTACGTGTCTCGTAGAAAGGATTATAGGGTACCCCTCGGTAATCCTTTTCCGCCGGGCTGTTTTCCCTGGACGAGTCCTTCCGATCCAACCCAAGTCCCTCATCACTGTCCGAGTGACTTCTCTGTGGTCTCTTCTTATCGGAAATGGTAATGCTTCCCGAGGGCTGGGTCACATCATCGTTGGGTCTTGTGTATGAAAAGGGTCGATTATTATTATGGCCAAAGCCCGGTCCAGGTGCAACCATGGTGCTGGTCAAACGTGGTGGAGGTGAGCGATCATTAGACAGTCTGTGTATCATTTTGCGTATTGTTGATCCTGTATCACGACTATCGTATCTGCTACTGTGAGGCATATCCCGAGCCTCGTCAACCTCGTCCCTCTCGACTTCAGTTTGAATGTGGACAATATGCTCGCGTGGCTTGAGTTGACCAGTAAAATCAAAAGGCTTGTCAACCTGAGGTGACGCTTCAATTATCGGTGACAACTGCTTCTTGATTCTGGTCGATGGAGTTGGTGATGATGTATCACCAGTCTCGTTATCACTTCCACTTCGCTTACGTCTTATCTTCTCACGATCAGACGTACCAGCGTCACTCACACTTCTCTTAACAGTTCCATTGTGCTTGCGCTCCAACTTGGGTGTAAACAACTTAGCCAGTGGGCTCTTGTGCTTCTGCGCACTAGCATCGCTCACACTCCTGTCCAACTTCTTCTTGCGCTTTGTTGTTGGTGATTCACCGGTAATCTCACTTGCACGATTATCGTTGGGGGATGAATCGATGCGCTTCTTGGTACCACGTCTTGCTGGTAATGTATTGAATTTACTTGGCTGTCGTCTATTGTCACGTGCTACACAGTTCAGACTCTCAGCTTGTTGAAGAACAAGAGCAGCCTCATGGGCGAGGTCCTCTTTGCTTCTGGTGCCGATGCTCTCTTTGTGGACGGGTGTCGGCATCAACCTGCCTTCACCATCTCCAGCTAGGGCTGATGTCACCCTCGGTGCTCCACGTCCTGAAAGCAATTTATCATTGTTAGCCGTTGCGCAATTATCGATATCTCATCGATCCTTTTGAGCATTAATTTATGCAGTTGATTCGATTAGAAAATAATTTTCCTTTCTTTTTCCGTACGGAAAACGGTAGCAGCAGGTAGCTTACAGCAATTAGCACTGATAGCAGGTCTTGTTGAATTTATAATGACGTTATTTTTCCACCGCAATAACCGTGCACTTATTCACAAATGAAATGCCTCGGAAGGGGATAGGGAATGTGGGGAAAGCGTGACCTTTCGCGCGAGACAAGAAATGGATAGTAACCGGCCGGTTTTTGACCTCGATCGATAAATCCGCTCTCGGACTGTTCTCAATGGGATATTTCTGACGTATTAAATAGCTGCGGAAGGGCTTTTCCATGATTGATCAATTGAGAGGGTGGAAAATTACTAATGAAAGCCAAGAATAATTAGTCGACGAGTGAATCCCAGGAATTGACAGATTTATAGTAGCTAGGCGGGGCGGAACGGGCCCAGACAGCATCTGGGGTCATCATCACGACCTGCCGAGAGATGAGGACGATTGAATACATGCGTGGTGCTAATCTCTCTTCCCGTTCCCGAGGAAAAATGTGGCTAGATGATTATGGAGGGAGGAATGGAATTTCACGGGGGTAAAAATAATCGACAACTAATTATTCACGCAGAAGAAAAAATCTCACTGTAAAAATCACATAATCCTAATTATAATTATAATTATAATGATCATATGGCAATTCAATTTTCTATTCTATAATACATTATTATAAATATACAATAAAAATAAATCTCATGTAAATAATTAATTAAAAATAATTTGAGACAACCCCTTTTAATGTTATAGGGTGGGCAATGGAGTTTTCCGTCCACTTGTCAATAAATATCTCAACCCAATCACTCAGTTCTTTTCTCCGATGACTTTTTACCGCATGACCTTGGGTACCATGCAATTGCTCAACGTCATTGGAATGCAACGCGAGTGACAAGTGGTAGCACGTCGTCAAGGGTGTATTAAAATGCAATAAATGGAGGGGGAGGTAGGGGGTTGGCTTGGTTGGATGAGTGAGACGATTATTATTTTTTTATTTATGGTTTTTTAATGTTTGCTAACCCCCGTGGGTTTTCCACACCCGGTCAATCCATCCCACGCTAATCCCCCCTTGATTGTAAAGACCCCTAACGACCGGCCGTATTTCATCGGGCAAGTTATTTCGCACTGCTGTAAAATACATGGGGAAATTAATAATAATCCCTTGTCCGTTGGATAAAAATACCGGGGATATTTTTAACACGTAATCTATGCGTTTCTATTCTGCAATCGGGCGGACGGTTTTCATGGGTTGGGAAAGATCGATTGCTCCGTTTCATTTTCATTTTTTTATTTTTAGAATATTATTTGCTACGCCTTTAGGCGCATTTTTTTGTCGTATTTGCATGAAAGTAAAAGTTGAAGAATCGGAGGGGGGGAATGAAAATAGTCTAGGCCTTTCAAGGACTGGGATATTTATGAGGTTGAGTCGGGGAAAGGGATTATTTGAGGTAAATATAAATATGAATTTAAACGGATTCCGATTTGAGTGGTTGGAGATCTTGATCGAGGTGATCTTTTGGTGGGGAGATTAGGGTTTGGAATGGGTTTATGTGGTCGACAGACCGTGTCCAGATTTTCATAACCGGTGACACGAGCCATGAGATTTTACTGGGGTATTTCATGGATTTTTTCGACTTGTCTTGGTGCTGATCTCAATTGCCTATTCTTTTTCATTTTAGCTTGTCAGTTGAATCGGGATTGAGTGATTCAAGACAAGACCGCGATTTGTTTTAGGTGTTCATGATCGAGATACAAGATGATGGACATGATGTTAAGACGACCAACTCCATATGGGATGAATATTTGGATAATACTTAGAAAGAAACTTCTGTCAAAATTCATCAACCCTGAAAAGTCAGTGACTCACGGAAAAAAATGAGTAATTGACTCAAGTATATTTTATAATTCATTGAAAAATATACGGTATACTCACAACAAGTATATTATTATTACTAATCCTAGTACATTCGTAATTGTTATTAAAATCGTAGGAAAATAAATTTTTCATTGATATTCATGTTGAAAATATTTCCGATGTAACACTGAAACGCCACTGACTCCGAATATATCAGCAAAAAAAAAAATTCCTCTGCGTTAATAGAGAGATAATCGTTCTTTCAAAGAGTGTGAAAGGAGTTCAAGTGATAATGAGTCTCGAAAACGTGAGAAATGTTGACATTGACCCTCCAAAATGTATAAATTAACAATAAACATCATGCTGGAAACATCTGCAGGTGGAAAACCACTTATGTCATTCTTATTTTGTGGCAAAACGTCTGACAATTACATCATCATCGTTGCGTAATTATAGACGAGTCCCACATGAGTGCAACGATAATGTCACCTTGTGGTTTTGCCCGAGTAAACGAGCAAAACATGACAGGTTACTAGTACACAACCAGACACTCACTGCAGAATCAACAATTGAATTAATCCAAATCCCTTGAATAAATGATTAATTATTTTATTGGTACTTATTACGTCATTGAATGAGTCTTCCACGCAAGCACATCCAATCCCCTAGTACGAGCCCCACACAATTAAAATTACATTTCTTGTTATTGAATTAGAGAAAGTTATCAATGATCTCAATTTATTTTCATTTTTTAATCATTTTCAATCTCGATCTCATTAAGGTAAAGTGAGTTATTAATGAGTAAGTATAAATTGAGTGGAGCTAGTAGTGAAAGAGGCTGCCTGAAGATCATTACCTCTTTTTTACGATGTTAATACGATTCTATTATTTTTCAGACTGATATTTTCCATCTCTCGATTTAGTAAAGGTTATCTGGTGGAAAGTATACAGAAAAAAAGTTTCTTTATGTTATCAAATAAGTATCTATTAAAAAAGAAATTCTCCATTTATCAAACATCTTCTCTGAGATCAAGCAGGTTTTTTTTTTCGACATAAAAAAACTTTCTCTCTCTGGAGATCCAATAAAATGAGATGTTGAAATTTCTTCTCTAATATAAAGAATTATATTTGCAACATCTTGAAAAATTTTATCTTAGTTTATTAATAGTAGTGATTTTTAAAAAACATTAGGACGAATTTTTTATTGAAATTTTGGCAGAGGATCAAGGAGTTCGCGATAGATTGTTATTCCGATTAATCAAGCAGCCTCACATCAGGGATAAAATCACAATTTGATTTTGAAAACGATTGTGATTGCGTGAAATTAAGACTCACCGATCCTCTTGACGTGGACGTCTCGATTGAAGGAGACACTTCTTTCAGCGGGCTTCAGCCCAGACGATGAGGAACCTGGGGTATCCTCAAAATTACCAGAAGTATCAACAATATTGGGACGAGAATCTCCCACACCAGTGCCAGCCGAATCCAGTTCGACCATCATAAACGAATAAATTCACTTCATTATCAATAATAAATAATCAACTTGGTCTTTCCTCTGAATTTCACCTGTAACCCAAGGAAAAAGCTATGCCTCATAATCATTTTTCATAATCAGAATCTCTTGATTTTTCACAGCGCAATGAAAAATAATGAGGTGATGTTAATGTGAATGGAGATGACACGAGCAATGGAAATGTGAGGCAGATCCACCAGTTTTTTCTCACTTATTTTTTTAACAGCTGAGTAATGAAGCGAAAAAGTGGGTGAGGAATTATTTTTGCAGAGTTAATTCATGGAGATGATTCCTATCTAATCCATTACATAAATCCTGCCAATTAGACGGAGATGAACGATTTTATTATGTTCAGAGTTATCTTCTCATTGAGGATCATTAAAATTCCTTGAGTGAATCACCCGAGGAGGCAGCTATGAACTTTGATAAAGTTATCTATTTCTATTCCTCAGGAGCATGGGGGAGAAATAGTTTAGTGTTGGATTGAAAATATTTTCGATGAATATTAGTAGTGGGTATTCGCTCCGAGGGAGCATCCGCTTCGAGTAAATGCTCGTGATGTTGACATAACTGATGAAAGGATCGAGTTGTCGAGTTCTCACATGAAGAGGGAATACCTTGGAGGTCGAGTTGAACTGAATATATAATTATTATTATTATAAACCGTCATCTTTGAATTCTTTCAGCCAAATATTACAAGTATTTCCTAGAAGACTTCTCCCGGGGACCTACACTGAGGAAAAAATTATTTTCTTAACGGGTTATGTGGGTCTTGCAGTTTGAAGAAAATCTTTTTTTTTTGGATTATTAATTGCCACAACATGTCCTGAATATTGTTCAAAAATTTCAAACCGATCGGAGTACAAGTTCCGGGGATGGCGTTTCGGAAAAGAAAAATGAATTTCTAAAAAAAATCTTAGAGCCCTAGTGGGGTAAATTGATTGCCGAGAAAAATCTTCTAGCATCAGAATTTTTCCCGTCGTTGTCCAGTGCATCCAGGATTGTGCCTGAAAAAATCTTCCCACGTCTAATTTTGCTAAGAAATTCACGAAACTTGTTTGATGCGACTAAGATCATAAGTGTCTTTTTCTAATCTGCAATCTTCAAATTTCTTCATCGAATAGCCCACGCCGACGATCTTCCACTAAAAGCCTGTCCCCTTTTTCCAAAAAATTCTGACAAAAATTTATGAGGCGCCGTGTGTCGTCTGTCGGACCTTAACGAGGCGAAGAAACACGAAACACCAAAACTGTCATGTATTTTTCACGTCCAACAACTCCGGAGTGAAATAAAAATTAAAATGCGAGAAACGTTTTCCCCCTGTTGGGGCAAGGCTCACGGGGTCTCGCCCTTGAGGACAAAACGGGGTTGACCTGGACGACATCTTGCAAGGTGATCGAGGAAAAAGAATGGCACGAGAGAGAAAAGATCATAATAATAAAACACAGCAGAGAAACACCAGGCAAAATGGACCGAAGATGAAAAAGGGAACCTGAGGACATAGACTCATAGACTCAAGAACGCATTCAATATTCATGAAATATTTCTCAGTGCAGTAAACCGATTTGTAACAAAATCGAGTAAAAAAATAACCGTCAAAATTTCTTGGTCCATTATACCCCAGGGGTCAATTTATCCAGTATTTTCCGAACGAAAAGCCACACACGATATTTGTGCGCGTGCCTCAACTCCCTCGTTATTCAACCGCTTTATTAAACCCCCTGACCCCCCCCCCCCATCACCCCCTGGCAACGACCCATACATCGTGTGTGAGACAAACTAAAAACAAGTGTGATTATACGGAGCTTTTTTATCACAGTTATCGCTTCAATCCAAAACAACAAGAGTAACGTGTGAACATACGCGTGTAAGAATTTTTTTTTCACGCGTGATTTTTACGCAATTTTTTTTTTTTTTAATTTTCTTCGAGTCCACCCTGGGATTTCTCTGTCTTGTGCCTTTGTTAACGGCCTTCTCCGAAGAGAAGTGACGCTGGGGGACTATCTTGGTGTAGTTGTTCCTCGTGGAAATAATCCACGGGATTGAGATAGCTCAGTGAAGAGTGAGTGGAGTTTGTGTCTTTTTCCCTATTTGGTGTGGATCGAGGAGCAAGGACTTTACTACGACGATCGGGGGGAGATACTTGTCCTCCTGCCCTCGTACTTTCGGTTTCATGGGAATGGCAGCTTTTTTTTTTTTTTACCGGTTTTTTATCGACACACTGGGGGAGTGGAATTCACCTGATTACATTGTTAACTGTTTTTCGATGAATTTTCTGGGTTGAAAACAGGAATTTTTGAAAAATTTCAGAATTAATTTTTCTTGCGTTTTTTTATTTTGGGATTCATTTTCGGAAACTTCATTTTTTGGAAGCTTGAGGATCAGTTGTCCGGAAGAAACGCGGATTTTCTTACGATTTTTTTGGTTTATGTTTTGCTGGATAAGTGGAATTTATTAATTAATTCAATTTTGAATGAAAATTTTTTATTTCTAGGAAAAATTGGACAGAATTGAAATTCAATTGAATGCGAATTAGAAAAAGAAAACTTTACGTAATTTCAAATTTTATTAGGATTTCGAATAAATAGGACCCAAAAATTCTCGAATTCCACAGAATTCTCAAAATTCGATTCTAACTCTATCCTAATTCAGAATAATAAAAATCATAAAAATTCTGGAATCCTTAGAGAGTTTCGTTTGAACTGGTATATTTCCAAATTTATTGGAAAAAGAAAACGAGTTTCAAAAATTCTCCAAGGATAAATTCCCGGCTGTAATACGAAACGCCATAAAATTCTCGAAATTGTTATGTAAAAATCCCTTAGAATTTGGCTAACATGAAAGTCAAAAAACTTTTCAAATAATTTCTCAATTTTTTCAGCGGTGATCCAAGCCCTGAGCACTCAATTTTTTCAGACCTCCCCTTTAATGCAAATAATATTCAGCAATAAATTAACATTGGATTGCATCACGTCAACGATTATTAGTAATTATTAGCGATTTGCGGAAGAACGCTCGAGTGACTACTAATGAACATTGGAATCGCCTCGTCTCACTGGTTCCCCAGAAATTCATTTTTAACTCCTACGAGGAAAAAACCACAGCGAATAAATTGCGAAAAATGTTTATCCTAATTGAGAAGAAGATACAGACGTGAGTTGAGTGTATCTCCAAGAATTCTGAATAGCGAAAAAAAAAATGAGTGAATAAATAATCGAAAAATGGTGGCGAGTTTCGAGGAGGAAACTGTTTGGCTTGAATTTATTCAAGTGTCGGTTTAATATTGTACGTTGGGCATTAACTGTAAAATCCAAACAAAACGAGTATTAATTCTTGAGTGGATAGGTTAGTAGCTGGAGATATTTGCACATCTACTCTCTGGATGATGGTTAACGAGGCAAAAAACGAGTCCCATCAATTCTCACCGGATAGATTATATTGATGTCAAAATTTACTTCTCACTGGTCTCAATTTTCAAGGATTATGCAGGAGCTGTTGTTCAGAAAAATTGAGGGAATATTTTATTTCTTACTGGAGTCATCCATTTGGTGAATGAATAAAAAATGAGTAGATCTGAGAAAAACTCCTTCCGAATTTCATTCCTCAGTCAATTTACAAACACCGTTAATCTTTTTTACTGCAATTTCCGGTACACTTCTTCGAAATTTTTAGCATTTCATAGTTTCATCGAAGTGTCAAGGTATTTTCACATGGAAAATTCAAAATTCAAGAGAAATAGCGGGAAAAACCCTCAATTATTAAATGAAGATTAATTAAAAATGTGAAGTGCAATTACTGATCACTGAATTTTAACGAAATGTCAGAAATTCCAGGAGTAATTCACTCAATCATTTCCACAGGGGAATATTAAAAATCGAAATACTTGAATTCCAAAAGATTGCCAATACTATATAAAAATCCTCAAAAATGATCATTCCACTCAATTCCAATCAAAATAGAATTGGAAAAATTCAGATAACTTTTCCACCTCTCCTGAACGCACATCTAGAGTTATCTAGAAATTTTTGGATGCATAAAAAACTCAGTAAAAATGTGAAAAACGATTTTCCAAGAATGCGCAAAAAAATGGGCAGAATCCGCTGAAATGTGTCAACGCATTTGCTATTTTTTATTCTCCTCACCCCAGACCTAATAATAAAAATATTATTTAATTATCAACCTACGAAAATTCACGTGTGGACGTCGAGTAAATATTGAGCCGAACTTTTTTGGCAGTTGATTTCGAAAAGCCTGGAAAATCCAGGGAATGGTTGACGCATCGATTTTCCACGGGCGCGTAAAAAGTGGGGAAGAATCTGCTTAAATCTGTTGATATTTTTTTTATTCCTCTCCGAAGAAGTAACACGATGAGAAAAGCGTTCTTTAGTTGCACACGCGCGAAGATTCACGTGCGGACGTCAAGTCGAGCCGACGATCTTCATCACGGATCTCGGCCTGAGGGCAGAATAAATAAAAGGGACGCCCGACCACGAGTAGATTGTGGTTTGTTGCCGCTTTCCGAGATAGGGGATGGAAACAAAGAAATTAAAGGGAAATATTACTGACACCGGTGACTATTTAATTCCATCGAGTGCGGTTCTAAGTATCTTTACACAGAGATAAATATTCGTATGTAATATCACCAGTGGATAAATATATTTAACCCAAGGATTCTTCACAGGAGAGAATATATTTTTTGGGGAGAATATATTTCCCCAGGGCAGCCATTTTTACGTACTTTAAATTGAGGTGTAAACATTAATATTATTTTCCGTATTTTCCAAATTTACAAAAATTTTTCAATTCCGGATTTTTGTAGGTCAAATTGTTGGGAATAATTCGAAATGTTAATAATCGTTATTCAAGGTCATTCGAGGTGATTTTTTGAAATAATAATTTCACGTTTCAATATAATCTTCGAGACTGAAAATAAATTTGGAATATATCTGACGGACTGATGTATGGAAAGAGAGAATATAAAAAATAGTAGAAATATTATATTCTCAGTAAAAATATTTTTTATTATCAGCGACGAATTTTAATAAAGAAAAATTTGCTAATTTATTGCTCATTATTTATGTTCATCTGAAAATCGATGAATGAGTTGGTATTTCAATTTAATTAATCTGAGTGAGATGATTCGTGTTATTCCTTTCCTGAATATTCATGTCACACGACAGATTTAATAAATTTATTAAATTTTGCTCTGACCGGACAGAAAATTCTTTTCGAAGTCAACAAAAAACTTGAATTTCCAAAATCACGCTTGTCCCAAAATCCACTCACCATCACTCCCCAAAAAAATTCTGTCACACCCTCCACAAAATTTCCCTAAACTTCCCCAAATCTCCCAAAAAAAAAAGTGTTTCGCGCCTGAACCCCAGGAGTCCTGAACTGTACCCCAAAATAGAAACAAACCCCCGAAATAAGCGAATGAATGAAAACGAAAAATAAAAAAAAAAAGCCAAAACTGCAAATTAACCGATGTTTACCTTGAAAAAGTATAAAAAAAATCCAAATAACAATCACAAAATGTAAAAATCCAGAGACAGTCTCACAATCACTGAAGAACTCCACAAAGAAATCACAGAATAAAAAAAATAAAGTGATCGATTGGCAAGTGGCGAATAGTAGTTTGTAAAATCCGTTTGAACTGCACTTCGATCTCGAGAAATTCTTGGCAAGTCTTGAGGAGGAAACGCGGCGCAACACAGCCGCACGCCGAACAACTAATAAAACCCAGGGGGGACCCCAGGTTGAGGGTCTGCGTAGGCCGGGACGCAGAGCAGTTACTACTCCTTCCACATCGGCCACTTGCTCCTAGCGCCTTTTCTCCCCCTCCTACTGAGAGCTATTTCCCCCCCTACCGAGAGCTATTTCCCCTTTCCACGGTCCCACAGGTCCGTGGCCCCCTGTCCCCCAATGACTGCCCGAGGATGGTGCACAGGACAGAGCGAAATAGAGAGGAGGCCACGAGTCCGGTCTGTCTCTGACCGCCGACCGGCCTCACCACTCTCCTCCGTATCTACTTCCACTCCACTCTGAAAAACCATTACACCTCAAAAGTAGGGGACCCGACTTTGGACTTTGACAAGTCCACAGGAATCTCATTTTTTCCCTCATTTTAGAGAAATTTTTTATCTTTTTCGTATTGATTATCAATTCCAACCAACCGCTAAGATATTTTAGTGAAATGGATTACTTCCCCAAAAATGAGAAAATTCTTTTTATAAAATTGTAATTGTTATCAGTACTCTTCCACGTTCTTCTGAATTATTTTGACATGTCTAGGGAAAGTACGGTTTATAATTATATCAGATGTTCTAATAGTTTGATGACTTTAAATGCCATTTTTTTATTAATCCAATTGTTCAATTTTTTTAGAATTCATCCAACTTGTTTATGTATACGAATTACTAATGATCAAAGAATTTATTGAAGAAAAATCAAGCACCTGCTGTCCTATGAGTTTTAACAATTAATTAAACGAGACCTACTGCGCACGTCATGCGCCGATTTTGAATTTGGCGGTTTGAGATGACCAATGAGGAAGCAGCCCTACGCGTTTCGAGATATTTTCACTCGGGCGAACTTAATTTCTATGTTTCTACTTTCATGATAAGGACATGATAAGGATTACACGCAATAACAATTATTAACAAAATGCCGTCAGCTTCAGCCAATCAGGAATAAGTTTTAACGACTCGCAATATATCGATAGTTTGCGAGTTCGACCTGTTCTTTTCAAAATGGGCCTAGTACTTTTGATGCACGTGCACCGCATTCTTCACTGACTGAACATAAATCACCAGATAATCGGTACCGCATTATGTAAATCGATTTCAGTAATGATCGAGAAAAAACAAGTAATTAATGGATAAACGTTAATTTTCAAACGATACAATATCCCCATAGCTTCCAAAATAGTCTAATATATCGAATGACTCAGGAGTTCAGAGAATTTTCATAATCCCAATGGAATTAAAACTGAAATTAAAAATAATTGAAAATCCGATTACTCTGCGACTGTAATTTCACGAATTTTTCAATGTAATGTCAGATTCTTACCAAATGCAAAATAAAAAAAAATGCACTCGTTAAGTTCATCTGACAATGCGTGATTACCCCCGTGAGTCAACGAGATTGAAACTCATCGATAACCCCGAGCAGATCGAACCCCTCGTTTACAACTCATCTACACAATCTCCGAAAGCGTTTCTACACGAGATTCACCAGCTGTCACGTCCAGGGGTTTGAACCTCGAATTATTCGAAAAATTCAACGGGCCTTAGCCTGTCCTTTTTCAAGTACCGAAGGAGTCAAGGACGCGTGTACGTGTGCGCGAAGGACGCGGGCGAGAAGTCCCATGCTCTCTTCCCTGGAAGCCCACGCCAAGAATGTAATTGCCACTTTCATAAAAATCCTTCGGGTTTCTCTACCCCCCTTGCCCCCCTTTGCAGGGGCAATTTTTTTCCCCGTCAAACCAATTGCCTCCCCCCCCAGGTCGTGTACAAAGCGCGAGTGCCCTCCCCTCCTGGAGGCACGTGAACATAAAATTCCTCATAGCGAAACGGCCATTTGTCCGAATGGAGATCGGTAACATGACGTTTTCATGGCACTTTAAAGGGGTACGGGGTTGAATTGTTACATTACAATTTAAAAGTTCTTGCGCATTTTTTTATGGTTCTTTTTTTTTGTCCCCGCGATTAAATGGAGGTGAGACGCGAATGGACACATACAGCATCATCTTCATTCGTTGGTCAAGCCAATTACGGAACATTGTAACAGATAAACATGGGTAGTTGAAATTGTCCGGGATGGGATTGAGGGAAATGTTTCATGGTGGAGGAATTAAGGAGAGTTTAAGACAGTCATTACGGTCTATAAAGTCGGGTATCATTCAACGGGAGGGCAATGGGGTAGTTAACATTAAACACTTTATTCTTGAATAGTATTCGGTGATCAGGCGGCAATTGAATAGCCTTTTTTGTCGGTACATTCTTGGAATGAACTTTGTTCTTAACAAAAAATTCAATAAATGGAACGGGTGGAAAAAATTTAGAGAAGTTTCAAGTCAATGAGTTCTGGAAGTCATTTGAAGAGTCAGTTTGATTTTACGGAATAAAAATCAGAAAGTCTTACATTTAATTTATTTTAGGTTTTCCAAAATATTTCATGTGGTAGATAACGAAAAAAAAAATAGACAATCACGGCTAATTATGTGAGAGAGAAAGAATCTTCATGAGTGGGGCGAAAAATTTTTGAGGTGATGGTTGTGGCGGAAATCGGGGGAGAGATATTGTTTTTTCTATTTTTCAATAAATGATTGATGAATTATGGTGATGTGGTAATCGACAATGACCTTTAATTTTCCAAAGGTATTTCTTTCACCTGCCGCGAAAGTCTCGACAAAAGGTTCGAATTACCAATTACGTTCGGTAAATTTCGCTACTCATGCGGACGGAGATAATTCCCTCTATTACGGTAACTGTCAAAATAATCGAGATTAAAAAAAAAATCAATGCCTTGACATTGACGAGTGGGAGAAATATCAGTTCCTGATATCGTTTATAGAACCGCTGATTACTCGACTCTCGAAATATCGATCCATCGGAGTGATCGTTAATCATTTTGTGCTGTTGGATTGCTATCGATCGAAAGACTGTCACATCAGACGACGTGAAATTTTTTTTTATAGTTTTGATGGCGTGTTTTTTGAGAATATTGAAAAATAAAAAAAGTAAAGAAACAATTGAATAATTAAAAGAAAAAATTACATTCGCAACAATTTCTAGAAAATTATAAAAAGTTTTCCGAAAGAAAGTTTTGAAAAATTCTTCAATACATTTTCCAAAAATAAAATCGCTTTGTTTCCCGATTTTTTTTTGTTTCAAAAAAAAATTTGAAAATTTGGAAAAAATATTCCGATTACATTTTTTTATCCGGACTTTCATAAAAGCCTAAACTTGAACTAAAAAAAATTCCCATGTAATTAATTTTTAAAAAAATCAATGAATAAATAAATTCCTGAAACAGCGGCAGTCCCAAGAAATCCAAAATAAAAAAAAATCCATAAATTCCAAGAATAACCGAAAAACCCTTGAAATCCGCCGACGATTTTTTTTCGATTGATCCTTCAAAATCCGTCATCACTCCAAAAGCTCCACCCCCACAAATCAATTGGTATCGGATTAATTTCCGGGGAAAAAAAAAACAAATTCCCTATACCAATTTTAGCGGGATCCCCCGAAGAGGCGTTCTCGGTAGGAATCCCTGAAGTCATGCGAATCGATCGCCCTGATGAATGGAAAGAGCTCGAGGGAGGAATTAAATTCCGAGAGGATTAAAAAACCTAGAGCTTCACTCCTAGAGTAAAAAAAAAAAAATCAGTAGAAATTAGGTACCCTGTTTGGTTCGGTAGTGAGTTTGCCGAGGGTTTGTATCATAAATTAATCTACTACTAGGTATCGCGTGGATGCCCTTACGAAAAACCCTTGCGGGTGCTATTCCCCAGTGCCCGCTATAAATAACATTGGCTCGCGTGGAGAAATCTATTTATCCTTTTCACCTCGATGGGTACAGGGGACGTAGGTGGGGGTCTAAAGGGTTATACCAATGTTTATTTCCACCTGCCTCGTACATCTTTGTATCGCTGTGGGTTTCTTTAAATAGTATTTCAATATCATGTCAGTATATGTCTCAATGAGAATTTATCACTTCGCATCTGTTATTTAAATGATTCAATTTTATCGGAATGCCAATTTAGAGGGGGTCATTAATGAATTTTACACGTATCAATTGGTTATTTACTGGGGACATTTTCAGTCTAGCTTTTTTAATGAAGGATCAGGATTTTTGATTATCTACTCCGGATTAAAATTGAGATTTTTCAAAAAGGGGTAGAGGTTTTATTTTACAACCTGAGGAACAAAGTGGCGGAAAAAAAATAATTTTATGGGAAATTTTTCTGGATGGATTGATGATGTTGAAGATATTTTATTTTAATTTATTAAAATTTCAGAGAAGTTTGGAATTTTTCATTGAGTTTTCCATTTTTATGTCTGAAATTGAAAGAAATTGGAATTTCTTTGGCTTGAAAAATCGGAATTGTTTTCGCATTATTATTATTCAATTATAAAAAATACAAACACCGAGACTATCGATCCTATCGATATCTCGAAAATCTGTCACACTTACTCCTCATTGGTTCAGTCGTTTCAGGCGGCTAATTTGAATGCAGAACTCATTTAATTGTGATATTTTCAATGATGATTTTAAATAAAAAGAAAATAAAAAGAAAACGAATGAATACATTGGATGAGACACGCGTCAGCATAATGTGAAATGAAAGAGTCATCTATTTATTACTCGCTGTATGTATCTCACAGGTAACAGTGAGGGGTTGGGTGACAACTCGCTTGAATTATGGAAAACGTGAGTCCTCGATGATATTACCGTTAAGTGACCAATGTACCATTGATTTTCATACACACGATACACATGTGACCAAGTTGTACGGAAATATTTTTGAACGTACTGCTTAAATCCTCATATACCATTATTCAATGATGCATAGACATTCGCCATTCGCTCTTGTGTATATAAACCGCAGCTACCGTGATCACGTTTGAGGATGTTTAGACAACTCCCACGATTGTCATGACTGGGGTACGATACATCGTGTTTGTCTCACGGTCTTACTAAACGGAAAATGTACCGAAATCAAAATAAAAACGAGACGAAACAAAAAGACGGAACTTTCTGTTTTACTTTT